CCTTTGGAGGTGGGGGGGTGCCTTCAGCTCTACTGGGCATGCTCAGAGTGGCCTCTGGAGGCGGGGGGGCGGCTTCAGTCCATCTCTGGATGCTGCAGACGAGACGACGATCCGGATCCAAACTGACGAGGTCTGAAAACCAGAAAATGACACAAACCAACTCAACATGACAAACACAAAGAGACACAAAACCGCCAAAATAAGCAGCAGCAGAACCAGAACCTCCTGAAACACTCCCCCCCCCATGACAGAAAAAAGAAATCACTTTTCTGGAGCAGAGCGTGTCCTTCTGGTTCCTTTGACTCCCCAGAACCAGAACCTCCTCCAGCAGGATCAGTTTGGGTTTTCCTGCTCACTTTTGGACCGGAACCGAGTGACGTCTCAGGGAGGAGAACCGGAACCGGCAGCTGGGCAAAAAAAACACAAACCAAAAGAAACACAGAGTTGTTGTTTTTTTAAAAAACAGGACCCCAAACGACCTGTCAGATTCAGAACCTCGGGGGCAGCAGTACCGGCAGGGGCAGGCCCAGAGGGGTCGGGGTCAGCTGGCTGTACATGGCCACAGGAACCGGGATGTACACCGGCACCGGTACCGGCACCGGAACCGGTACCGGCTGGACCGACACCTTAGGGCGACTCCGGTCCTTCACAGGAGCTTAAAAAAACAACAAAGCAGCACAACTTAGATCAAACAGAGAGATGAAAGGGCCTCTGAGCTGTGGGAGCTGGGCTGGAAACACTATATTTTCAATTGGAATGTACAACTATCATTTTGATCAGAATTTTTGTTATCTTTCGGGGTGATGTGTTAAACTCGTTGACGTGTAAAATATAGCAAAATGCTAAATACATTATAGACTAGACACGTCAACGAGTTTAACACATCACCCCGAAAGATAACAAAAATTCTGATCAAAATGATAGTTGTACATTTCAATTGAAAATATAGCAAAATGCTAAATACATTATAGACCTGTGTGTCGGGGGGGGGGGCAAAGGGGGCGTGGTCACCTGTCTGCGTCGCCATCTCGACGCTCCGCACGCCGCAGGAGACGCCTTTGTTGTGGACGAGCGGCACGCACAGCACAGATTTGTTCTTCAGATCTCCGGAGGCGGTTTGAACGGCAGCCTGAGAAGAGAGACAGAAAATGGTTCACATCAACCACCAAAAGCAGCTTTTTTGTACAAATCTGATTTTATGGCTGTTTGTTGACTAAAACACAGAGATTTTTAAATGTATTTTTTGGGGAAAAAGTGGAAAAATTGTATCTATTGTGTTTTTTTTTTACCAAAAATCTAAATTTATTTGAATTCTTTCTGTCTTAAATCCAAAAGAGAAGCAGCTAACTTCCTCTGGTAGTTTTTATCTTATATTTTTAGGCCTCTGGTATAAAATCCTGCCTCTTATTGTATCATCTTAGTTTTATTCGCTTTACTTTCGTTTTCTGTTTTTTTTTGTATTTGGTTTGTTTCCTTTATGTCTGTTTGTGTTGGTTTTATGTCTTTTTGTGGATTGATTGTGTCCTTTTTTTATTGTTATTTGTGCCAGAGTTTCACCATTTTCACCCAGTTCCCCTTCCCCCCCCCCCTAAAGTTCAGCCATTAAATGCATTCATTAACTTCTGTGTTTTGGGGCTTAGACTTTGTAAACTTACATGTCCAACGACTTTGGTCTGGATGTCAGAGAGAGATGCTGTGGGAAAACATCAGGAGTCAGACAACATCCAGTTTGTTCATTATTATCTCTTTCAAGACTCTGGTTCTCCTCAGCCCCGCCTCTCTGTGTGTCACCCCCCAAAGCTAAAGCTGCTAAGACTGAAAGATGTCACCATTCAGAGCTGCAGACACATGTCAAAGCAGCCAAACAAGAGAAGACAAAAAACTGAAAGAAAGTGCAGAAAAAGACCAGAAACTAAAAACTCAAATCAGTAGATAGAAATCACTAAAAAAAAGATTTTTAAAAAAGGGACAAATTGATTAAAATATGTTAAAAGAAGACACAAAACTGCAACAAAGTGAAGAAAAAGGCCAGAAACTAATCAGAAATTGACTAAAAACTCAAATCATTAGATAGAAATCACTAAAATATTGATCAAAATATTTTTAAAAAATAGACAAATTGATTAAAAACTGTTTAAAGAAGACACAAAACTGCAAAAAAAAACATGAACTTCACATCACTTGGTCCCATCTAATCTGATTTGGCTGCATATCTCTGATTAAACATCCCACTCAGGACGCTCGGGTGGAAATGTGGCGTCTGTACCGAGCTGCGTGGCGCCCGCAGGGGCCCCCAGGTGTCCCGCCAGGGCGGCGGACAGCGAGATGACGCTGGCGATGACGGGCACCGACTCCACTGCAGGCCGAGGAGCTGAAGGCCCTGCAGGCAGAGCAGAGCGGCCAGCATTTTACACTCAAACAGGAAAAACTAGCTGAGAAAACACCTAAAAATGGGACGCTTATCACTTTTATGCCCACAGATGAGTCAAATCCTTTAAATTCTTTCATTTTTGCCGTTTTTCACTCTTTAAAAGCTTAATCTAATTACATTTTTAGATATTAACTTTAATCTTGAACTTCACAGATTTCTGCAAATTATAATTGTTACTCCTTGAGATGGCTCATTAATGGAGGAAAAAGGCAGATTTTCCTGTATTTTTCCTGCAGAAAACTGCAAAAAGTCTAACTTTTCTGAACGCACTGATGGGGAAAATAGCCCGACCTGGTGGAGAAACAGATATTAAATCAGAGGCTCATAAATTACTCTTAAAGGGGAAAAATGCATCGGTTTTCGGGCAGTTAAACTATTTTGGGCCAATTTTAAGGAGCTTTGACTACAATAATACCATTTTCTGAGACAAAATTGCTTATAAATAAAAAACAACCAAATATCTTAAGATGCTCAAATGACCTCCTGATGATTAGTAATGACTTAAGTTGACTGAAATATGCAAATTAAAGACATTTGGCTTTTTGGACCTGGATAAAGTACAAATTCTTAAAACGTATAGGAGATAAAAGCCAGTCAGTGTGCACTCTGGTTGGGTCATACCTGAGTCCCCCATTCGGCTCTTCGTCCAGCAGAAGTGAAGGAGACACTTGAGGCTGCAGAAGTGTTTGACGACTCCCAGCAGAGGAAGGCTCTGCCTCAGCTTCCCTTTGTGGCTGCAGGCGTCACACTTTGCCTCCTGAGGAAAACACAGGGAAGCTGAAACTCCTCTTTGGGCTGCTGCCCTGCAGGTCTGAGATGTTTCCTGCCTCCATAAACTCGATTCAGCTTGAATGGATCTCTGCAATAGACTGTTCAGTTTTTCTAAAGCCTGTTGATGCGCTAAATAAGGTGGGTTGAAACAGGGAAACATCTCAGAAACACGTGCAAAATCACCAAAATATGGAGCAAAACAGCAGAAAAAGGGAAGATCTGATTAAAAAAATGACAAAAGAACACACAAAATTGCAAAAAGTCAGGCAAAAGGCCTGAAACTGAGCAGAAACAGACTAAAACCTCCAATAACTAGATGGGAAAATCCCCAAAATATTTTTCAAAGGATCAGGAAAAGGGACAAACCGATCAAAAAAATCGGACACAAAACTTTATTTTTTTTAAATCAAGCAAAAGGCCTCAAACTAAGCAGAACTTGACTAAAAACACCAATGATTAGATTTAAAATAAATAAATACATAAATAAAATCACCAAAAGCACACAAAATGACCAAAATATGGAGCAAAACAGCTGGAGATTAAGTGATTTAAAAGCTGTTTATAAGCAGAAGTGTTAGATTCAAGGGGCTAAAACCCACTGATCAAATGTGCTGGCTTTAAATGTGTGGAAATAAAGATAATTTGACCAAAAAAAAAGTCACAGCATGGGTTTAGGTTGTGTGCAGTGGTCATACTTACGTTTCTGAGGAGCTGTTGGAAGCTGAAGATGCAGTTTTCTGAGCAGAAGTCGTCCTCTGAGCCTTCGATCGTCCCTACTGGGGCAGAAATCGAGAGGCAGAAGGCACACGGGCGTCGCCGCTCGCCATGCTTCTTCTCCAGCCCATTAATGAACCACATCTTGCACCCTGAGTGGTCAGAGCCGAAAAAATTAAATTAAATAAAAATCAACCTGAGGATCACACATTTTTCTGCAGACACTTTTCCAAAATGGAGGACTGAAACAGTCATGCAAAAGTTTAGAAACGGCTCAATAATCAGGTTTAAACCGCAATAAATGTTACTCAAATTAACCATCTTTACAAAAAGAGTTCAGAATTATATAAATAATACTATATAAATGTTGATTTTTATACACTTTGACTGAGATTTTAATCGTATTTGTCATTTTACTGGTGATAATCACATTTCAGCTGGATAGCGTCTCTGGAACAGCAGGTTAGGGGTTCAAATCCCGACCTGAATTATTATAATTTACACTGAATTTATTGATTCATTCATTTTTAGTATTTCAAGTTGTGACCAAGGGCATTTTAAAGCCTGATTTAGCGTCTATAAACCCAATATTTCTATGTCTGCTCATTATTCCTGTTGGTGTCTGTGGGTCCAGACTTCAGCAGATTTCTGTCAGAGATTCAGCTATTTTTGGGACATTTTGGGAAAAAGTTTACTAAATATTTATGGGTTTTCTCCCTTTTCTGCATTATGACCAACTCACTGATGTATAATCCCCTTTTTTCCAGAAGCAGAGGTCAATTTAATAAAATGACTGAGTGGAAAAAGTCAGAAACCGGGGGGCGGCGAGCCCCTAAAATCTCACCATCACTGCAGAAGCAGCAGTCTCTGCCGTCGATTCTCTTCACCTCGTTGATGATTTTGACGCTCTTGCAGTGCTGGCACATCCCTGTGATGTTGTGCGTCCTCTTAAACTCCAAGGAGCAGGTTTTGCTGCACAAAACGTGGAACTCCCCCTGTACGCACACACAAAATATTGATCAAAAGATCAGATTGAAAATGACTTAATAAGACTCAAGATTTAAAAAAAGTCAGGCAAAGGGCATTAAACTTAGCAAAAAACTGACTAAAACCTCCAATAACTAGATAGAAAAATAAAATAAAATATTTGTTCTTCACAAAACGTGGAACTCCCCCTGTGCACACACATCAAAAGATCAGAAAAGGGGTAAAAACTGATTAAATATTACAAAAGAAGACTCAAGACTGCAAAAAAGTCAGACTAAAAGGCTTGAAACTGGGCAGAAACTGATCAAATAACTAGATAGAAAAATCAATTAAATATTCTGAATTTGAATGCGGCGACCGACAAACTGACCCCATTCTGGATGACTTTGGGCTGACTTTTTATGTCTTTCTGACACTGAGCACAGGACACTTTGTCTGTGGCTTTGCTGGGGTCCGTCTGGGTTTGGCTGTGGGCAGTGCTCTGGTCTCTCTGGCTCTCCTGTACACAAACATGCAAATGTGACTAAAGTTAGTTGTTATGAGTTGTTATGAGCCCATTAGCTTGGACGCTGTGGGGGATTTGTTACCTTGAAGGCCATGGCGCAGCTCAGAGTGCAGAAGTTTCGGATAGAGGCGTCCGCCATGGCGAGATGACAGGCGGGGGCTGCCATTTTCCCACAGTGATCACAGTGTAATGGTGTCCCTGAGCAGAAGGAAAGGGACAGTATGTCCAGTAGTTGCACTATTTACAGTTTTTTTTTATCCAACAATGTGCATTTTTAAATTTTTCTTTACCTCCCAATGTGCAATATTTACAGGTTTTTATCCAACAATGTGCATTATTTACATATTTTTACCCTAAAATGGGCAGTTTTTACAGTTGGTTACCAAAAAATGTGAAATGCACTTACAGCCATGACCGTGCATTTTACCTATTAATGTTTATACTGATTATATTTTTTGCTAATTGATACTCTGGTGTTCCTGCAGTCGGCTTAAATCTCGTTGCACATGTGTATAATGACAATAAAAGGCTTTCTGATCCTAATTCGGACTCTAAATCTTAAGAGTGATCAGTGAGAACTGGAGTCCACTAAAAGAAGCACAAACGGAGGAAAAGGGAAAAGCTGGTGGGTCTGGGTTTGAGGTCGCCCTGTACCTGATGCGCTGATGGCCTGGATCTTAGACGCCATCACGCAGCTGTAGCTGCAGAAGAACTCAATCACGTTTTCCTCGTTTTTGCTCTCAGTCATTTCCGACAACAGCTTGGAGACGCGGCAGGTGCTGCAGGGCTGCAGGGTTTGGATGCTCTGTGCAAACGGATCATCACAAATGGGAGCGTTTTATACAAGGAGATACAAAAAAATCCTCAGAAAAACTCCCCAAAATCAAAAAGTCAGTTTAGTTATCAGCTTAGTTATGAGAAAAAATATATTCAGATGGAAAATGAACTTAAATAATACAAAATAATAATCATAATAATATTATTGAGAAACAAGTAAAACAATAAGATAAATTGACTAATAATAAATTTGCATGGTAATGATTTTGGAAATAAAGCATAAAATGTACATTTTGTCGTAAGGATATTTATGTTGATCAAAAAAATAAAACTTCTCATTAGTTTCATAATTTCAGACAAATAAGTACAAATTAATAAATTAATTTGAAGAGGAAATAAGTAGCAAATCAATAAATGTATAAGGTGTCAATTTAAAAAATATATAAGAAGCAGTATAATAAAAACAATAAAAATGTAATTTTTATCCATAAGTGTGATACGAGTAGTTTATTTATGTTATAAACATAAAGTAGCAATGCTGGTACTACTAATAATGATACTCAGGAAATAACAAATCAATAAAAAAGATGGGGTAATGTGATGAATATATAAATGGAGAAGAGTAAATCAAAAACAAAATGAAATAATAAGTATTATCACTAAAACATTAGAATAAATTCATTAAAATAATGAAAAAGAAAAAACCATCCTATGTCCAAGCGTGCGTTAAAAAAGAAACACACAGCAAAAGTCAAATAAATATGAAAATATGAGGAGTTTGTGTCTTCATAGTTGTGGAGACGGCGTACCTGCTTGAACTGGGAGAGGCAGGCCTCGCCGCACAGCGTCCGGCCGCCGTCCTCCATCCGCACGGCGAGCCGCTCGGCGCCACAGCGCCTGCACATGTCGCACAGCCACAGCTGGCTGCTGGTGCAGAAACGCCGCAAACAGGGCTCGCTGCACAGCTGGTGCACGGCGCCCTGCAGCGCCACCTCCTGGCCGCTCTGCAGGACAGACAACCACAGACAGACAGGCTGCGTCAGGCCTGTTTAACCACAGATGGAGCCTGTTTAACCACAGATGGAGGCCTGTTTAACCACAAATAGACAACCACAGACAGACAGGA